GTAGGAGAGCACCAAGTCACATTCAAGGGCAGACCCATGAGACCAACAGAAGATTTGTCATTAGAGACCCCGAAGGCCAGGAGAGCATGGAATGATCTATTTCAGTCCTGAAAGAAAATGACTACCAAACAAGATGGCCCTACTCAGAACTGAAGGAGAAGTAGACGTYCCAAGAGAAGCATGAACTAAGGAATCCATGGCCACCAGACCAGCACTGGGAAGACGCCCAGGAGAGGAAGGATGGTGGTCACAGCTTATGAGACGGTAGATCTCACTGAAGAGTAGGCCTGCAAGTGAAAACCAGGGAATCATCAGATAGGAACAAGGCAGACGCCACCAAACTCACCAAGAATGTTCAAAACAACCAGRAGAAACAAGAAAAGGASAGGAACSACGCAGACCTTTCAATAATAACTGAATGCAAATGGTCTCATTCTCCAGTTCAAAGACTCAGGCTGAATGGATCATAAAACAAGGCCCACCAATGGGCGCTGCAGACAGACTCGCCTCACTGCAGACGGACACAGACTCAAAGTGAAAGGAGACACCACTCCATGCAGATGAAATCCCAAGTGACAGGGACAGCCAGGCTTGTCTCTGACAAAACAGCCTCCAAGACGAAAATGGGAAGAGACTAAAAGGTCAGGAACATCAACCGGGAAAAGTTCATCAAGAAAATCTAAGGATCCTAAATATATGGGCCGTGACTGCCAGACGACGACTCTGATAAGGGAGAAGCAGGCCCAAATCTGATAATAGTGGGAGACCTCACTACCTCTCTCCCACCAATAGACAAAAAATCAGCCAAGAAGCATCAGTTACATTGAACTGTAGATCAGAGGACTTGACAGACATGTTACAGGACTGACAGAATGTTTCATCTAACAGCTTCAGAATATACGTACTTTTAATTAGCATATGGAACTTTTTCCAAAATAGACCATATTTCAGACTACAAAACAAGTCCAATAAATTCAAAAACTGAAATAATTGATTGCATCTTATCTGATCACAATAGAATTAAATTAGAAATCAACAGCAAGAGAAATTTCAGAAATTATACAGGGAGATTAGACCACACACTACTAACTGAACAGGTCACTGAAGAAGTGGGGGGAATTCAAGATTCCTTTAAACAAYAGAAATGGGATCACACATATCAGAACTTCTAGGACACAGAGGAAAAGCCCTACGATGGAAGTKTATAGCAATGAGTGCCTATAACAAAAAATATCTCAAGTAAATAATTTAACARTGCATCTCGAGGTCTCAGAAAAACAAGAACAAATCAAACCCCAAATCAGTAGAAGGAAAGATATAATAAAAATTAGATCAGAAATAAGTGAAATAGAGACTGAAAGAACAGTACAAGGGAGCAACAAAACAGAGTTGGTTCTTTGAAAAGAAAACAAAATTGACAAAACTCTAGTGAAACTAACCAAAAGAAAGATAGAGAAAACTCACATAAATACAATTAGAGCTGAAAGGGTCTGGGGCTGTAGCCCYGTGGCAGAACCTTGCCTGGCATGTGGGTTTGACCCTTTRCACTGTATGAAAATCAACAAATAAAATAAAGGCATGCTGTCGTTCACCTACAGCTACAAAATATTTTTTTTAGAAAAATTAGAACTAGGGCTGGGGATGTGGCTCAAGCGGTAGCGCGCTCRCCTGGCATGCGTGCGGCCCGGGTTCGATCCTCAGCACCACATACCAACAAAGATGTTGTATCTGCCAAGAACTAAAAAATAAATATTAAAAAAATTCTCTCTCTCTCTCTCTTTAAAAAAATTAAATAAAAAAGAAAAATTAGAACTGAAAAAGGTGACATTACAGCTGATGGCACTGAAAGTAAATAAAAAAGGATTGTTAGGGAATATTTTGAAAAACAATCTATGCCAATAAATAATAAAAAAAAAGGTCTGGATCCTATGGTCTACCAAAATTGAACAAAAAGGATATAATAAGCCAAACAGATCAATAACAAGTACTGAGATTGAAACAGTAACAAAAAGTTCTCACAAAAAAAGAAAAGTCCAGGACTGAATTAATTCATGGCTGAATTTTAACCAGACTTTTAAAGAAGAATTAACACCAGTGCTCTTCAAACTATTTCATAAGTTAGAAACAGAATGGACCCTTCCAAAGTCATTCTACTAAGTCAGTATTACCCTGCTAACAAGCCCTGATAAAGACACAACAAAAGAAGGACACTATAGATTGATATCCCTGATAGSATGGATGCCAAAATTCCCAATAAAATACACGCAAATCAAACTCCTTAGCACATTAAAAAGATCCCACACCATGATTAAGTTGGTTTCATTTCAGAGATGCAAGGATGGTTTGACACGTGCAAATCAATGAACATAATATAGCACATAAAAGGAATTAAAGATAAAAAAAATCACCTGGTCATCTCAATATATGAAGGAAAAGCCTTTGACATGATAAAAGCCCTGAATAAATTAGGTATAAAAAATCATACCTTAACATAATAAAGATAAACTCATAGCCAAAATAATACTGAATGAGCATTTCAGACTGAAAGCATTTCTTCTAAGATCAGGAACAAGACAAGGGTGCTCATCTCACCATTCTTATTCAATACAGTACTAGAAATCTTAGCTTAAGCAATTAAGCAAGTGAAAGAAATAAAAGGGATACAAGCAGGAAAGACAGAGTCAAATTATTCCTGTTTTCTGGTGATATGGTTCTTTGTATGGAAAAAATTCTAAAACTATAAAAAAAGACTTTAGAACTAATATGTAAATTCAGGAAAGTAGCAGGATACAAAAATCAACATATAAAAATCATAAGTTTTTCTATATAACCAATAATAAATTTGCTGAGAAAGAAATCAGTAATGTAATTTTGTTCACAATAGACCCCCCAAAACACACACACACACACACACACACACACACACACACACACACCTAAGTAATAAACCTAACTAAAGATGTGAAAGACCTGTACAATGAAAATTACAAAACAAAGAAGAAAGAAACTGAGGACACTAGAAGGTGGAATGATAGCCCATGTTCATGGATTGGGGGAATTAGTATTGCTAAAATCACCACACTACCCAGGGGATCTACAGATCCAGGGTAGTCTCCCATCTAAATACCAATGACATGAACTAGGAAAAAACCAAAAACTAAAATTCACGTGGAATCACAAAAGACCCCGAATAACCATAGTAATCCTGAGCCCAAAGAGTRGTGCTGAAGGCATCACATACTTGATTTCAAAACGCACTGCAGAAGCCTTGTAACAAAAACAGCATGGTGCTGGCCTGAAAATAGGTGTGGAGACTAATGGAATGAAATAGAGGACCAGAAATAAATRCATGCATCTCAGTCAATGATTCCTGACAAAGGTGCCCAGCCTACACTGGATAAAGAACAGCCTCTTCAGCWAACGGTGCTGGGAAAACTGGATATCCTCGTGGGAAAGACTGAAACTCCCCTCCCTCACCGTGGATCAAACACCTTAATATAAGATGCGGAAATCTGAAGCTACCAGAAGAAAACACAGGACACTTCAAGACCTCAGTATAGGCAGTGGTTTCCTGGATGGGACTTCGATAGCTCAAGAAGCAAAAGCAGGAATTGAGAAATGGGCTGACATCTGATATAAAATCTTCTGCACKGCAAAGGAGACAGTCAACAGAGTGAAGAGAGAGCCTGAAGACCAGGGAAGATCTGTGCCTGCTCTCATCTGACAGAGAAGTAAYATCCAGAATATATAAAGAACTCAAAAATCAGGCAGGCGTGGTGCACACACCTGTAATCCCAGTGAATCAGGAGGCTGATGCAGGAGGATGGTGAGTTCAAAGCCAGCTTCAGCAACTGAGTGAGGCCCTAAGCAACTCAGCGAGAGTCTGTCTCTAAAAAATATATAAAAAGGGCTGGGGATGTGGCTCAGTGGGTAAGTGCCCCTGGGTTTAATCCTCAGTACCAAAAACAAAATAACCAAAACCAACACTAACAAAAACCTCCAAAACTTAACAAAAACCTCCAAAACTTAACAAAAATAAAAATAATCCAGTGAAAAAATAGGAAAATGTCCTGAGTAGATTCTTCTCAAAAGACACACAAGTGAATAATAAATTTWAAAAATTCTCAATATCTTTAGCTATCAGGGAAATGAAAATCAAAACTACGCAGAGATTCCATCTCACCACAGTTAGGATGGCCATTACAAACAAACAAACAAACCAAAACTAGGGGATGCTGGATGCTGGATGTGGAGGAAGAATCCTTTTGCACTGGTGGTGGGAACATAAATTAGTACAACCACTAYGGAAAACAGTGTGGCATTTCCTCAAACACAGCCACCAAATGATCCAGCTGGRCTTCCCTGGGTCTACAGCCAAAGGAAATGAAGTCAGCATTCAAAATGGTGCGTGCATTTCCACATCTATTGCAGCACCGTTCACAAGAGCCAAGGAGCGGAGTCAGCCCAGGTGCCATCAACAGATATGGATAAAAATATGCTTTATGTACACAGTGGAGTACGATTCAGCATTAAGAAGAATGAAATCGTAACATTTACAGGAAAAGGAATGGAACCAGAGGATATCAGGTAAAGCAAAACATATGCAGAAATACAAGTAGTGCTTGTTTTCACTCCCGTGTGAGGATAAAGATAATAAAATTAAACCCACAATGAGCAAAACACAAAGATGACCTCAAAGTCAAAAAGGGACTACTTGGGACTATGAATGGGGCTGGTGGGAGGGTGGAGACAGGGGCAGGTGAAGGGAGAGCAGGGGGCGGCATGACCAAGGCCCTGTACCTGCCTGTGCGGAAATGTCCCTGCGGAACCCGTTAACGGGCACGACTAATGCATGTTGATAATGGTAACAAAGAACACAAGAGCCAACAATCGCCSGAAGCTGTCCCCGTCTCAGTGGCTGACTCCAAACAGCCTGGCTCCCAGCAGCCCTGACCCTGGGATCCATTTTCTTCCTTTTAAGGGAACAACCGTCTTCTTACCTTAGACAAATCTGCCCATCTGTTTTTCGCTTTGATAACAAGATACTGATGAGCCTGTTCGCAGGCTAGTTCAGAATCCGCAACTTTCTGTTTGGTTCTTGAAAGAAAAAAAAAAATAATAAATAACTGTGTTTAAATTTAATGGGCTCATGAATCTCCTGAGGGTTCTCCTACCCCCTATCTGTTTCAAAGACACCATTAAAGTCTGTTATTTCACATCTGGTCTAACTTAATTCTTAAAATACAGTCGCATTTCCCCAGCTGCATGGTAGGGAAGTCTTCTTAAATTTTCTAAGTCCTTGTTTATTTTCAGATAAATGCTATTCAACTTTTTTTTCCCTCTTCCCAGAGCACAAAACAAACAGGGCTCATTTCTTCTCGGGGAAGGAGGGAGCATCACACAACATTAAGTGTCTTAGGAGGAAAATAGCCGAAACCTTTTCTTGTTTTTTGTTGTTTTTTTCTGGAATTTGCAAGTTGGAGGGAGAACGCCGTCAAAGCGGACAGAGGGGCCCGACCCGGATGGCGGCCTGGGCTCCGCCTCGGCTGACTTCGCRGGGCAGGCTTCAGGACTCAGCGCCATCCAAACCCTGCCCCTGTACTCACACTAYGATGCTGGCTGCAGTCACCTGGCCCCGGGCCTGCCTGGATGGGTGGCGGGGACACTGTGGAGACRGTGGCTGAGGAACCTGGGTGTCCTGATTAGTCCTCCCTCTAAAGCCAATCAGCGGGTCCCGGGATCTGGGATCTGGGAGTGCACCTGGGTCTGCACTGGGCTCCGGCTGGCTCCCGCCCCGTGGCCTCCCTTTGGCTCCCTCCTGAGGCCCCTGACCGCGGTGCTGCTCCCCACAGCGCTGGGCCTCACCTGCTTTTCTGCGCCATCTCTCCAACTGCCTACCGGACCCCAYAGTCACGGAATTTCGAGGGTGGGAAAGGATCCAAGCTCCACCGCAGTCCCCACCCCTGCTTCACCCCCAGAGCTGGGGAAGGTCGCGGGGCCTTGCCACACTTTTGCTGACAGGAACTTGAAGTCCTAGTGATGTCCTGCCTTCACCTCTCCATCCCCCAGGGCCTGCTGCGCCCAGGTGCCCACCTGGCCTCCCCAGGGGGCTGTCTCGAAGCCCCAGGGCACCGCTGCCTGGGCAAGCCAGGGCCTCCCACCTCTCACCCACCAAGCACSCGGCCAAGGGCCCCGCAGCTCCCCAGCCACACGGCTCCATGGTCCTGAGTTGCCTGGCTCAAGCCAGGAGCCCCTGGGTTTTCCACCATGTCTCCTGGTTCTCACTTGGCGCCTGTGCCCCTCGAGAGGGGGCGGGGCTGGGGGCCTCTTCCCGCCGTGGCCTGCTCCTTTCTCCTGGCTCATTAGGCCTCCTGTCCACCAGCCCTTCAGCCACAGTACACATGGGCATTCACTTGCCCGGCACTCGGGCCTGCAGACGTGGTGACCAGCACAAGGACAGTCCAAGTCCTCAGGAGCTACCGCTGTGGAGCCACCATTGGGGACAGACATGCTGAAATAAGCAGCAAAAATGACCTCAGACTCCGAGCACCTCAGGAGGACAGGGCACTCTTCAGCAAGAGGGCGGGGGCTGCTCTCGGAGATGTCATGTGACACCCAGGCCATGCCAGAGTCCTGGGGTGAGCTCTGCTTCCAGGGAAGATGGAGTAGTACCCGTCACCTTCCCCTCCCTCCCCTACAACAGAAAACCCTGCCCAGAGCACAACATGGGACCTGAGGGCTGATGGAGGAGGAAATCTAAACTGAAGGACGACAGACATGAGTTTCCTGGGAGTCCAACTTGCCACGATCCCAGCTCAGGGAAAAGAGCAGCTCAAACACCGCAACTGTGCGAGGCCGTGGAGGGAAAAGATCCAAAATACCACGTCKGACTTTCTGACCGAGAGCCAGGAAGGGGGCCTGCAGCACAAAAGCTGTGTGGCCCCATTACTCTCTTTAACCATCCTGGTCCTGGTCTAGAGGGAGCCCCGTCAGGACACTGTGCTTTCAYGGTGGGGTCCGCAGCCACGCTGGCCCCCGAGGTTCTGAAAACTCTGGGTTCTTCTGTCCCACCAGAGGAATGGGGGCCAAGGAGAGTCGGGGAGGTCTGTGTCATTTTTCCACCTCTCTTTTTCTCTTACCACGTTACCCTGAGGGTGGGCCCAGTCGTGGGAAGCGGCTGAGGAGAGGGGACCAGAGATGATCCCACCTGGACCACAGGGGCAGGGCAGGGAACGCACACAGGCAGCCCAGAAGCCAGCACCACACGAGAAAGAGGTCTAAGCCCCATGGTGAGGTACCCAAAGGAGACAGGAAGAGATGGTGCGTACAGATATGAGTACTCTCCAAATTTGGCAAAAGACTTAAGTATGCATAGTCAATAACATGCACATTTCATTCATCTCGGCGACTCCATGCTTAAACAGCATGCTCAGAGGGCTGAAAACCTGAAAGTTTTGAAGGCAACCTGAGAAAACACCACGTGACCTGCAGGGGGCACCACCACTGTTCACAGGGCTGCTCACCACAGCTGGCGAGGAGGCCAGAGGACAGTGGACAACACTTTTTAAATGCCAGAATTGTCAACCCCCATATATCCAGCAAAAATACCTTCTAGGAATGAAAGAGAATAAAGGTACTCCCCAGAAGGCACCTGAGAYGACTTGTCTCCAGCAGACCTGTCCTAAGAGACGTGCTGAAGGGTGCTCCTCRGGGGAAGGAAAAGGTACAGAGAGGATCCGGAGCCTTAGAAACCCAGGAGGAGCGGCCGAGGTGATAAGGTCTGGTGACCACAACACACCATCTCTCCTCAGAGGGCCAAAGCACGGAAAGCAAAAATTGATAGGACTAGAAGAAGAAACAGAAAACTCCAGTTATTGTCATTGTCCTCTCTTAGTCATTGACTGATGAAGCAGACAGAAAGCCAGCAAGAATTCAGAGGACCCAGACAATGCTAGCAGCCAACTTGATTGATGCTTCCAGAACACTCYGCCCAACTCAACAGAGGACACCTTGTGCATTCTCCAGCTGGAGCACATCAGGGCCTTAAAACAAACTTGTAAAAGGACTGAAGTCACCCAAAGCCTATTCCTTATCAATAACKGAATGAAACTAGAAATTAACAACAGAGAAGTATTCAGAAACTGTGCGAATGTTTTAAATTAAACAATGTAATTCTAAATAATCCATGGACACAAAAGCATGCATGCCCCAAGGAAATGAGAAAGTATTTTGAAGTGAAGGAAGACAACAACTCTAGCAYATCCAAATTCGTGAAACCAGCTGAATGGGTGCCCACAAGGAAACTTGCGGCATTAGGAGCTTATATGAGAAAAGAATGGACTAAAAAATCTGAGTTTCCAACTTTAGAAAACAAAAAGAAGATAAAACTATATTCACAACAAGCAGAAAGAAGGAGTTAATAAAGATAATACCACAAACCAGTGAAACTGAGAGCCCGAAAGCAATGGAGGAGGCTCAATGAAGTAACAGGTTCTTTTAAAAGATCAATAAGATTGATGAATCTTAGCTAAAATGATAGAAAAAATGAGAAGATGCCACCTATCAGTATCAGTAATGAAAGCAGGACTATTCCTGAACACTCCACAGAGTTTAAAGCAATAATAAGGAATTACTATGAAGCATTTATTGCCCTTCGTTTGTCAACTTCGATGAACTGGACCAACGTCTTGAAGGACTAATTACCAAGGCTCACTCAGGGAGAAATATGAATGACTCTAGGGCTACTAAATAACTGACTTATAGTTGAAAACTTCCCAACAAAGGTCACTTCAGGACTTGATGACTTCATTTGTGAATTCTAGAAAATGTTTAGGGAAAAAAATAATACTACTTCTATAGAAGCCAGAAACAAGATGAGGGGAATTCTTCTAGTAGTGTGACGCCGAAGCCAGGACTGCACTATTACGACTGCTCTTCTTTCCTAGAGGTCATCCAAAGAATAAAAATGTTTGAAATTATTTTCTTTATAAAACAAAGGTCATTCCCTCCTGCAGTGACTGTGAGGGTCCACGGACCCGCCTACATGTCTGTTGTACATCATAGGGTTTTAGCAATGTTGGTTTTGATCTTACTTATCTATTTCATTATCCTAAAAATCTGTGCTCATGGCTCGATTGTTCCAAACTAAGAAAAAGAGATCATGATAAGAAGGAACAAAAAATGATGGAATTGCCCGCAGGAGAGAGTATACCAAAGCGGGCCACCACCAGCTCGTGACCCTTCGGTTCCCTGGCTGTAGTGTTTTACAGTCTCTTTCCAGAAAGCAGTAACACCATCCACACAGTGTCTTAGTAGATTGCAGTGAACACTGTGAAAAATTCAGAGGCCTCACTTCATGCTTAACTGGCTAAGGGACGAGAGTGAGCAGGAAGCTTCACAATCAGAAGATGATGGCACAGACGGAGGACGGCTCAGGCTTCGAGGGCGAGGCACACCCAGCACATAAGCCCAAGCTCCTGAAGAGCACATGATAGATTTCTAAGGGCAAAAGTTCTCATCAGCTAATCATTCAACAGCAAGAACTGGGTCCTGCGATCCTTTGTGATGAGGAGGACACGTGACAGTAGCCGTTCAGCTTCTGTGATGTTCTTGCACCTGAAGGTACTTCACGGGGTTGTAAGTGGGCCAGCCGTCAGGGCGGAAGGCAATGGATGAGGGGGAATGAAGCGAGCATCGGAGTGGCCCTTCTAATTGGTATTCATGTATCTAAACACAAAAACGCTTTGCGGTTATGAAGTAAACAAGATGGCGGGCCCTCTTCAACAAAGTCATGTTTCCGAAGCGTTGTGTGTTGATGACGCAGGTGGAAGTGAAGGCCGGAGGGCAGAGGGGCCCAGGGGAGAGGCCAGAAGGCTCCCTCCTCTGCCCACACCCGCCCACCTCCCCTGGGCCTGCGGAGACCAGTCTGCTCTATCCCACCCTTCACTGTGGAGCCAGGTGGAAGGCCTCCTTGCAGGCCTCAGGGTGGCAAAGGGGCAGGACACGAAGCCCAGCACAGCACCTGGCCCTGGAGGCTGGGCTCGCTGAGGCAGCACCTGTTTGGACTTCAGAACTATCATTCCCCGACCCTGGAAGCCAAGCCAGGTCCCGCTGGCTCAGCCTCTCCTGCTAGGTGCCATCCTCCCTCTGGATTTTTCTAGAGCACACTTGGCAGCACATGAACCTCCCTGCCTGGTGACACTCCGCCTGGCACACCTGCCTCTGCCAGGGCCTGCCGCTCGCCTCCCCTCCACACCCACCAGGCAGCCCCTCCTCCACATGCATCTGGCCCCGCCTCCTGAACGTGCTCAGCTCCCACCTGGGATTTTCCAAGTGCTGTTCCCGGGCCTTGAATGACTTGCCTCTGGCCTGCACCTGGGGGACTCCCACTCCCATTTCAAGACAGTGAGATCTTCACGCCTGAGCACCTCAGTCGCCCTCCTGCCCCCTCGCTTCCTGTGGCCTTCAGGAATCCTGCAGTTCAGTGTAGCTCTTCATGTTTGCTCCTGTCTCACCCTCAACCCCCTACACGGGAGCAGCTGGGTCCTATTCAAGGCGTTTGCACCACCCGGCCCTGGGGCAGCATCCCACAGAGCCCCCTCTTAGTAAACATCTAATTCAGGGACAAATAAATACAAATAAGGAGGTTAAGTCACTGGAAGGGGGAGATCACATTTTGTGATGGAATTTCCATGTCCCTTCTGCACACATCCTCCAGAAACTTCTTTGGGAGGATTTGTTTGTTCTGTGTCAATGTCAATGTTGTGAGATCAAGCCTCAGATCAGAGCTCCTCGGGACCTGAGCCATCGGGGGCAGGTGTTCAGCTCACAGGTCACATGATCGTTTCACTTAGAAAGAGACTGCAGTCATTTTCTAGCCTTTTCTTTTTCTTTTTCTTTTTTTTTTTTAAGTATCAGTTAAAATAAACCCAATGAATTCAAGAGGGGAAATTTAATGAAGTTCAAGACCAGAGGGCCTCCTGCAGCCTTGCCAAGTGTCACAGCAGGCTGGCACAGTGGCCGTGGCTTATGGGTGCTCCCTTTGCTGGTCAGAAGGGTGCTTGCCTGAAGCCCCTGGGCCAGGAGCACGTCCACATTATGCTGGGTCGTCTTGTCAGGAAGCACACCTTGCTGCCACCACTTCACAACACGAACATGATAACCACGGGTCAAGGAGGGGCTGCTCATCACACCTGTCAGCATTCAGCAGGCCTCAGCAGGAGCTGCCTGGGACAGGTGCGGGGGGGGGGGTGCTGGGGGCCCCACTATGCCTCAAGACACATGCATCTTGCAGAGAGGAGGCCGAGAGTACAGGGCACTGGGGCTCCGCGGAGCACTGAGGTGCTCCTGCTGGCCAGGGGCGAGGCTGTGCAGGGTGGGCAAGGGTGGGGGGCAGCACTGCTGTGAGGAGCTGAAGGTGTCCCTGCATCTCCTAAGGCAAGGGGCTCGGCCAGCATCTCAGTCCTACCATGGCCTGTGGCTGCCCTACTCCCACCTCGGGCATGATCAACATCTGGAGGGGAGGAGACAGGAGCATCTACCAGGGAAAGAGCATCTGCAGGAAGGTGACCAGAGCCAACTCTTGTGTGGCCTTCCCTGGCCTGCCGCTGGCCCCGGGGAGCGGCTAAGTCTTTGGCAGCATTCAGAGTGCCTAGGCGTCTCCCAAGCCGCATTCTCTCTCTTTTTTTTTGGTGGGGGGCAGGACTGGGGATTCAACTCAGGGGCACTCGACCACTGAGCCACACCCCCAGCCCTGTTTTGTATTTTATTTAGAGACAGGGTCTCACTTGAGTTGCTTAGCACCTCACTTTTGCTGAGGCTGGTTTTGAACTTGTGATCCTCCTGCCTCATCCTTTCCAGCCACTAGGGTTACAGGTGTGTRCCACCGTGCCTGGCTCAAAGCCTCATTCTTATTTTTTTTAAATATCTTTTTAGTTGTAGATGGACACAATATCTTTATTTATATTTATGTGGTGCTGAGGAGTGAACCCAGTGCCTCACACGTGTGAGGCAGGCGCTCTACCACCAAGCTACGGCCCCAGCCCTCAAAGCCTCATTCTTGAAAAGCTTAAAAAAAAATACACATCTGACTTCAGATTAATTAATGGACATAAAAATAAGTGTAGGGGGCTGGGGATGTGGCTCAAGCGGTAGCGCGCTCGCCTGGCATGCGTGCAGCCCGGGTTCGATCCTCAGCACCACATACCAACAAAGATGTTGTGTCCGCTGAGAACTAAAAAATAAATATTAAAAATTCTCTCTCTCTCTCTCTCTCTCTCTCTCTCTCTCTCTCTCTCTCTCTCCTCTCTCACTCTCTATTTAAAAAAATAAATAAATAAGTGTAGGTATATACTGGAATGCCTCAAAAAAAAAAAAAATACTGGAGCTGGGCWCAGTGGCCCACCCTGYRATCCCAGCAGCTTGGGAGGCTGAGGCAGGAGGATTGTGAGTTCCAAACAAACCTCAGCAACTTAGCAAGGCCCTGAGCCACTTAGCAAGACCCTGTCACTAAATAAAATATTAAAAAGGGCTGGGGATGTGGCTCAGTGGTTAAGCATCCCTAGGTTCAATTCCCCGTCCAAATAGAAATACTGGAAAGAAGTCCTGGGAACATAAATGATGCCCGGAGGAGGGACGGTGGCTGTGTGTTCTGCTCACTGTGTGTTGACAYACGTCTTGTTGCAGCTGCTGGCCAAGCCCAGGCGCATATGATGCGGAAGAGCACCGCCCCTTACCTGATGAGTCTTTGAGGCGCATCATCTGTTCTGGGGGTTCTCTTCTCACACAGATGTTGAAATTCCCGGAAGTTTAAAGTGACGGTAACCCTCAAGCCAAGAAGGCCAAGGAAACGCTCGAACTCCTGCTCCTTCAGGTTGAGCCGGAGCTGCAGCAGCAACTTGTGCAGGTCGTACATGCTGATGATGCCGTCCATGTCGGTGTCCATCTTGAAGAAGGCAGCGTAGGCGTCCTGAAAACAGAGCGCCACTCAGACACACACACCACTCCCCACTGCAGGGGCAGTGCACAGCACGGGGCGGCGTGGCCAGGCTGCCTGCTGCCCTGGAGAGTCCACCCTGCCCTGCCCTCCCTGCGGGCTCGGCTTTTCTCAAGAGCCACACATTGCTCTCCAGCCCTCTCTCTGTCAGGCCAGGAGCCGGAGAGGGGACAGAGTGGCTTCTCTGTCCCTTCCACTCTGTGACACCTGTGCTCCTGCACCCAGAGTGAAAAGAGCACACTGTGACTTCCCAGGACCATCAGACCCTGTGCATGGCACTGCCATGAGGACTGGCCACTTCTGTCCTGGGCAAACAAATACCGTGCTGCATGTCACCCAGAGGAGACCCCCAAAGGCCAGGGCTCTCCCCAGGCCTCTGCCCAGGCCCCGCTGCTCGGTCCATGGCGCTGAGGGCAGATGAGGAAACAGAGGCTCTGGGTCTCCAGGGCTCCACCCTGGAGGCAGGTGGCTGTTGCAGATCCCAGCTCTGCCACCTACTAGCTGTGGGGACTCAGGACAAGACATTTAACCTTGCCACATTCTCTAAAGTGGGGATGATAGAGAAGGTTCCTCCACCCCTGCAGGTCCTTGTGGGGACTGAACACACTAATACATGCAAAGCTCTTAGAGTGGTGCCTGGCACAACCAGTGCTCTAAGTGCTGTTGGTCACAACTTCTATTGCCCAAGGTCACACGGCAGGGTGGGGCTGTCTGAGCCAACACCCCGTCTCTCCCCAGTGCTTCCTATGTCAGGGCTTGAAGAGCTGCAGATGTGGCCTCAAGCCCCCACTTCCATCAGCATCTGATTCGGGGCCTCGCCCGGGGGTTATCTAACCATCTGGGGACTGCCCCGTCCTTTGTGGTACAGCTCTCCTCCACAAGGGGCTGTTAGGGTATAAAGCCAGCCCTGCTTCGACTCAGAGTCTAGAGAAGGGTTCCTGGATTTGGCGGACAGGCCTACCTGTATTCATTCACCAAACATTTTCCAGCACCTAATATGTGCAACCACTGTGCTAAATACTGTGGAAATTAATTGGAAAGCTTCTGCCAGGCAGCGGGAGGAAGGTCAGACCTAACCAGCCCGCAGCCCCCGCCTGAGGGTTCACCTGACCACAGCCCAAGCCTCTCACACCCTCCAGCCCACATCTCCAACAGTTTGGGGGCATTTCCTCTTGGATGTGGAAGCAAGCTGAGTCCTGCACTGAGCCGCTCCACACTGTAGACAACGGTGGCTTTCAGGCTGCGCCTGCCCGGAGCTACTCCATTTGGCAGCAAGTGCAAAGGACTTCTGCAAGGCCCAGAATGTCCTGATGTTGCAAATTCAGGGCTTGTCAAAAAGAATGGCCCAGCTGTGCAACAGAGTCATAGGGCACAAACTCATAAATAATCGTGCTAATAAAAAATCACCCTCTTAAACTCTGAATTAAAGCAGAGGCACAGAGATACGTGGATGTCCCTAACCCATGAGCTGAGCAAGCCCACCAGACCTCTGAGTGCTGCGCCCGTCCCTGAGGCCCACTCGGGAGGGGCACCTGAGATGTCATCTGTCATCTCGTCAGGCCAGCTGGTGGCAGGCAACGAACTCCTGACCATTCCCCGTGGCTTCAGCTTGGATAGCTCTCCCTGTGACGCAGCCCACTTCAGAACTGCCGTCGTCCACTCCTGCGCTGCAGTGAGCCCCACGCTTTGAATGAGTTCAGCGCCTGAGCAGAGCCACCAGCCTTGAACAGGCTCAAGGGTCCACTCATGCTGCGGGCCGCCCAGCTGGGTTCTGAACCCACTGACCCCCCTGCAGCGACTTCTTTTGCATCTGTGTCCACTCTCTGCCTTTGCTTGCAGTTCTGCCTCTTTAAACCTGAGGCCACTGTTAACCTTATTGGAGCCACTCTGTGATCAATAGATCTTTGGGCAAAGTGTCCTGTGTGACTGGAGTTTTATAGATATTAGTAATAAGACTGGTGTGTGTGTGCGTGTGCACGTGTGTGCGTGTGTGCACAGAGCTGGGGTGAAGGCTGGGGCCTCGTGCATGCTGGGCAAGTGCTCCACCACTGAGCTCCAGCCCAGCCCTAGTCATTAAGATTGCGGTGTATAAAAGAACTTGTGACTGACCTGCTCATGGCTACCAAGTGAACCGTGAATACTTGGTGGTTAAAGTCAATGAACTTGATGTAGCTAGTTAATTTGCAGTTATTCAATAAATCCTGACATTGTGGAAAGACATGTGTGATCTCTGGTAATGACAAGGCTCTCTTGCGACAGACGTCAAACTGAACAAGGCCAAAATGAAACCTGGGTGCCAACCCTGCCCCACGTTCCTCCCCAGGATCTCTCTTCTTGGCAAGGACAGCTCACTGTTTTAGGCGCTCAGACCACATATCTCCGAGTCCCACTGATCCCTCCCTTTCCCTCACGCCCCACAGGCACCTGCTGGCACTTCTCCCTGTCCCACTGCCTCCACCCCCTCCCAGGACCCAGGATTCCCCAGGAGGCTGCACAGGCTCCTGGCTCCCACCCTGTCCCCACTGTCCACCCTGCACAGCTCCAGCCAGCTYGTGCGGCTCCTGTCCCGCCCCTGGGCTGTGCCTCACCTGGCGCCCGGTCCCAGGATCCTCTCCCCTGCCCTGGGCTCCTCCCAGCCCTTGCTACCCTCAGTGTGGTGGCCGCAGCTGCAGTGCGGGCTCTGAGTCCTCCTGCCACAGCACTAGCACCGCGCCCTGTGGCTGGTGGCRGGACCTGAGCTGCAGGCTACCAGCTTACGAACCTCACTCATCCCTGGATCTCAGGCTTCCCCGTCAGCGTGGGGAACAAAACAGGCCTCACCACAAACAGAGGGTCAATTCTGACCATGGCGTCTATTCCGTGTGCGGCTCTGGGTATGTCTCTGCCCACCTCTGGCCCTCGGTTTCTCCAGCTATAATATGGGGACACTAAATCCTTCTGGACAGGGCCAAGTGGGACTYGAGGCGATGTCAAACTGATGGTGTGCACAAACCTTCCGGGTCACTGCCTGGCAAGTGGTGTAGGTCTCACTCATTCCAAACAGTGAGTTGGCCCCTACTGTGTGCAGACACTGTGGCAGCCACGGGGTTACTGTCTTGAACACACAGGGGTGACTCAGGCTCCTGTTTCATCTGCTTACAGTGGCTCAGTGCCCTCGGGACACTCGAGGGGGAGGGGAACCAATGATAAAAGAGTGTCCCGTCCCCCCCCCCCACTGATCTGAAGGGGCGCATTCACTGGCCAAAGGGGAAGGAGAAGCATCCAGGCAAGGAACAGAATGTGCAGAGGCCAAGAGTATGGCGGAGCGGGAGAGGGTATGAGTGGCAGCTGAGGGCACGCCATGCCGGGGCAGGGCCAGGCCTATGGGCCAGGCAGGCAGGGCCAGGGCGCAGCCTAAGAGCTAAGCAGCACAGATCAGAGCCCCACACCGACAAGACTGACCCGCAAGGCCAGTGCCCAGGACGGGCTGGGAGTGGAAAGCCAAGCGCTGAAAAGTGACTGACCCTACTTCGGTCTCACTGTCACGTCCTGTCTGGTTTCAAAAGACACAGGGCACAGGGGCACCTGCCGGGCACAGGGGCACCTGCCAGACCCAAGGGCATGCCGGTCCAGGGAAGCCGGCTGCAGCATCCTTCCTAGCCACATTTCCAGGTGAGCCCCAGGCCGACACCAGCCCATGGGGGGGGCCTGGAGGGCCTGGGTGTGGCTCTGCTAGGGACATGTCCAGGTCACCAAGGGGGTCTGTCCCTGCTTCCCCACTACCATGGCAGCTCGAGCCCTGGGTCTGGGCTGTCAGGTGTGATGAACTGTCTCAGCCTGGCTGTGGGCTGCAGACTGGCCAGGGCTGAGATGGCCATCTGGGTCCATTGTGACAGGGCAATGACACCAYGAGTGCAGCACTTTGAACTAATCAGAAAGTTCACAAACACAAAACAGCGTGGGTTTGGGGKTTTTCTTCTTCTTCATATTGATGAGGTGAATGTTCAAGGACAGGCGCTCAGTAGGTCAAGTGAAGGGTTAGACCTTCTCATTCCAAATTCCAGACAGCGCTCAGTCCACCGGGCATCCTGTGAGGGAGCCCAGGCAATCTGCACCCTGGCCTATCTCCTCCCAAAACTAGTGACGGGTCACACCTTTGTTTTACCCCCAGGTTTAAAATTCCTAGAGTGGGTGTGGGTGAGGTCTCTTCCATCAACTCCTTGTTTAATTATTTAAAACAGACATTGCCTTAGCCTTAGGACACGCAGGACAGCGTTCCCTGTAGCCAATGCTGGTGGAGGGAAGGAAGCTGTGGGGCTGCTCCCTCCCCGACTGGGACAACAGGGAGGAGAGGGGCTGGAGAGGGGCCTGGGCTGCCACGTGCAGGGCAATGTCAGCAGCTGCCTGGCCTCTGACTACTGGCATCAGGTAGGGGCCCACCAGGGGCCAGCACGTTGGGCACAGCTGCTCCTGTCCTTCCTCTCCTCCTCCAGCAGCCACACTGCCCACCYGGCTGGGCTTCCTTCTTCAGAGAACCTGGCCTTCCCCACCCAGAACCCCTGCCTCCCCACATGGGTGGCTGTGCCACGGGGTGGGATGGGTGGAGCCGCAGGTGGTCCTGGTTACCTGGAAGTGCTCCTTCAGTCTCCTGGGGAAGAGCTTCAGGCACTCCTCGGCTGTGATGAAGAACCGAGCTGGAGTCTGAGGGGGCGTGRCCTCCTGCCGCCTGTGGTCTGCAAGGAGACATGGCAGCCCTGAGCGCTTCCTCCTGCTTCCCTGCTCTCCTCCCCTTCCCAAGTCCTGCCGAGACGCCCGCTGCAGCCTGTCTGGCTCCCCCTCCTTCCAGGTCTCGGGAAAGCTCCCCTTACTGCTAGAGGGGCTGTCCCAACCGCAGGGACGGGTCCCCCAGCTGCAAGACAGGTTTATGTCTGCAGTCTCCGTCCTTCTGTCCTCTCATTCATCTACTGATGCCCAGAGGCACAGGCAGGAARCTGCCTCTTCTTTGGTCTCTAGATCCATGCCATAAGGACAGGAATGTGTGATTTATCCCCTATCATCAACTTGACAGCCACTTCTTGACCACCAATCTGTTAGATGTCATGCAGGGGCCGTCACACATTTTTTGATTCTTCTAACAACCCAAAGAAGTGGACTCTCGTGCCTTGTTTAAGCCCAAGGAAGTTTACCATAGCTATTCACAGAGGACGACAGGGGCTCAGAGGGCTCCCCAGCCTKCCCAGGTAGGGTTCTTACAGCACAGCTGTTCAGGCCAACTGGCTTCCAGCRCCCAGCTGGTACGGTGCCCTCTCCCTTCCCTAAACTGAGAGAGAAAGTGCAACCTCTACTCAAAACCCAGTCGGTTCCACCAGGCCTGATCATCTGAGCACGACCTTGTCTAAAGCCAGGCCACCACCCAGACATGGTTGTAGACATGACTCTCTGCATGTTGTAGCCAAGCTAGCCCTACCCCCACAGGGTGTGATTTGCAGGAGATGGCCAGGGACAGGGCACCCAGAGCTTGTGGGCACCCTCTGGTCCAGTCTTGAGCCTGGCTTCTGCCCCACCCCTACCTCACAGTGGGGGTTTACTTCCACATGGGGATGCCCTGCCCCCTCCACAGGGGCCCGCCACCTGCCCCAGCATGGGGCTGTCAGAGCCTGGCTTTCCTGCCCCACAGCACCTGGCCCTGTGGGGGCTGGTGAAGGATGCCAGGCTGCTCACAGGAGCACAGGGGACAGGTCATGGAGCAGGAAAGGGACGGGCAGAGGACAGGGATGGATGCTGACTCTGCTCAGTGGTGGCCTCACTGGCTGGGTCTCAGGCAGRCCTCCTTCCCACCTACTCTGGTCCCTTCTCTGAAGGAGGATGCACCTGTGTGGCAGAGCGGTGACCTGTGCTGTAGGCTCCTCCCCCYAACTTTCATTTTCCTTCAGGGGATCAAACATACCCAGGGCAAGCATTGGAATTCTAGAGGGCCAWGCTGCTCACTCTGCCTTCCTCCCTCAGCAGGGGACCTCCTGAAGCTGGCAGACGTGAAGCTGGCTGGGGCTGGGAGGACCTCTGGGCTGACACAGAAAAGCAGCCACCTCCCAGAGCCAGCAGCAGGAGAAGGGCTGCGCACACAGGGCTGCTGTGGCCCAGCCAGCCTGGCCAGTGTGTGCAGAGAGAGAGGAGGGAATTCCACCAACCGCATGCCTGGCCCCTGCAGTTYTGTGCCAGGGCCTCAAGCAGACARGGCAGGAGGCCCCTGTCCCTGCCCTGGGGCAGGACTGAGCTGTCAGCCTGAGCATGGTGGACAGCAGAAGGAGGTGATGTGGCTGGGGGAGGGACCCAGCAGGGGTGGGGGACCCAGCCCACCTTGACCTCTCACACCAGATGGGTTTCCTAATTTCCTCACAACTGTTGGGGTGGGAGGTAGGAACCGTGGCTGGGTGACCTTGGGCACACCAGTGAATCTTCTAGAATCTCTGCCTCCACATCTGTCAGCAGAGAAGGGTACGAACTGCCCTGCCTGCTGATGGCATTATTAAATACAGGTCACCAGCATAATTTCAGGCAGAAAAATCCTAAGGGACATGAGGTCTGACTGGGGTCTCAGGGAAGACACAGGCTTGGGAGTCCATTTTAGAGCCATTARGGTCCTGGGTTTGCAAAAGACCCAGGCCCAGTCCCACCCTCGCACTCTGTTTARCTTAGTCAAAGGAAGGGCTGAAACCCTAAGGTTGAGCAAAGTGCCTGAGTCCAGTCCAGGACGCAGGCGGCTCAGCATCTCCGTRGAGGCCCCAGCAGGCTGGGGTGCCCAGGCTTGGCCTCAGTACCTTCGAATCCTGCYGCAAAGTCAAGGTAGCTCATCCCCTCCTTCTTAAAGCCCATCTTTGTAGTCAGCTGAGAGAACTGGGTGTCGTCCATGGGCATTCCGCTGTCTTCCAGTACCTGGCGAAGGGAGGTGAGGGTGGAGAGGCCCTGGTCACCCTGGCCACTGCTCAGTGACCACCTCCCACTCTGATTGTTGCTCCACCCCCAGCCCAGCATCTGAGGGCGGGGCCCCCGGGTCCCTGGGCCCAGCACAGGGCTGGTGTTTGTTGAGCATGTGGTGAACAAAGGACCCGGGCAGCAGCCCTGGCTCAGCCAGTGAGGCCCCGGCCCAGGGCGCTCAGCAGGCCTCTGCAAAGGCCCTGCCACCCACCCACGTCCCKGTGGTGGCCACTGCCGGGGCTTTGGAGTTTACACTCACATACATTSAGGGAAACACAAAACAAAGCAAGGCAGTGTGAGGAGGGAAGACAGATTTCTACAAGTCTAACATGACCCACAGGTCACACRGCAAGCTGTGTGGCCGGTGACAGGGGGATCCATGGCCACCCCACCCCCTCCCTGTGCTAGCCCACTCCCTATAGGTTGTTCCTGACCCACCAACGCCTGTCCCCCCTGTGCATGTGGGGGTGTGAGCACCTGGGAAAGCACCCTTCCCTGTATGACAAACATCACGGTAAACATCACCATGGAACTGTCCCCATACCAACCCCCAGAGAGGCAGGTGGCCGGAGCTGCTCCAGGGCAGATGATGACCTTTGACCACGGCCAGCGGGTCCACAGCCCAGACAGAGCTGCCCGCCTGGAGAGACGGCACCCAGAAGGGATGCTGGGGGACCCCGGCCGACGGAGCACACCAYGCTGCTGCTCCCACAGTGGCGAGGGAAACGGGAAAGCCCTGCTCCCCTCCCAGCCGAGGACACAGAGCCACAGCTCCACATGCCCGTGTGTCCATGGGCCAGAGTCCTCCAGGATGACCGACCTCCCGCGTGGGACAGAGGACAGAGGCTTTTTTGCAGGGCTGAGTGTGCAGAGGGTGGTGGAGAAGGGGATGGGGCAGACTCGGACTTAACGCATGCCAGATGGTTCTGGAGCCACAGGAAGCCCATGTCTCCCAGTGGAAGGCTGGAGAGTCCAGGTGCGGGTGGGGACAGGATCAGGTAGGACYGCGGCACAAGTCTACCTGGGCAGCATCGTTATGGTCACCAGTGTGGCAGTGTTTATTGCCACTTGAGGCCAGGCCCTGGGCTGGGCTCTCTCCAGACCCTGCCCAAAGCTCATTTGATCCTTATCATGAGCCCTGGGAAAGACACTCTTGCAAACCCGACTGGACACCTGGGAGCGGAGGCTTGCCCTGATGGCCTGACCAGAGAGCAGCAGGCTCAGGGTTCAAACCCGGTTCTGAGTCCTAACTGCTCTGATGAGCCCCATGGGGGATGGGTCACCGGGCTGGACAAAGCCGGGGAGGTGGAAAGGACAGGAAGCCGGTCGGCAGAAAGTAGGGGAGYCGCCCTGCCCTGGACCCTGGCACCCCCGACCCCAGCATCCAAATTGGCCACACAGGAAAGGCTTAGTGGAGCCCTGGTGACAGGAGAGGGCAGGAGGCTGGGAGGCCKGGGTCCAGGAGGAGAGCCCCTCTCCCACACAGGGACCAGTGAGCATTCGGCTGCAGTTCAGATCTGGCTCTGGGCAGGGACCCGCATGATGGCAGGGCTACCTCCCGCTCCTATTGTCTTGGTGTCACCCCCTGTGGTGTGCAGGAAGAGGACGGGAACCTGTGGCTTGCTCTTTGTCTCCTGTCTACACAGTGACATGACCCATCTGAATGTGGAAGTGGTCACTGCCTCTAAGAGTGAACCAGCCACAATGGGCTGGAAGTGTCCCTCTCCCTGGGGAGGCTGGGCTGGGGKCCCAGTGAACAGGAGGCTGCAGGTAGCCACACAGGGGGTGACAGGGGAGCAGATGGATTCCAAGGCCGTCCCCAGGGCCTGCCTGGGCCCCGGGCAGGCAGTGCACGCCTGGGCAWGCTGTGCCATCTGCACCATCTGCACGGGAGCCTCGGCCCAGCCCTKCGGAGCAGCCGGTCCCAGCCCGGATGGCAACAGCACAGAGGGGAGGCCACAGCCCACGCACCAGCACCCGGAGGCAGTCGGCCTCTGCAGCGAATAGATGGGCTGCTTGCTTTGAAAAATAACTTTATATTTTGAAAACAATTACACATGAATTATTCATGGTGAATTCCTCCTGCTCGGTCCCTTCACAAAAAACATATGTAAAGAACGGGAAGAAAACGACAGTAGGCGAATGTTTCCCAGCCTGAGGGCTKTGAGCACCGAGGGATGTGGTAGGCCTCGGGCAGCCTGTCGGGCTCAGGCGCAATCCCCGCAATCCCCTAGGGGCCGCACAGCGCCCAGAACCCAGCCAGCCTCGGAGGCGCCCCAGAGCCTTCCACCAACACCAGCGTCTGGATCCTCCCCAGCCACACCCCACACTTCATTTCTCAGAAGGACACAGCCGCAGATCAGCTGGATTTATCACAAGCTCAGAGGCCATTTACAATGCCACGTAAGGTGGGTGACACAGTGACAGATTCAAAATGTTCACCCATGCGCGTTGTTTTCTCGGGCCTTTTCTGGAAGTGTTTCTGAGAAGCTCTTCGCAGAGTGACAAACGATGGTCTGGCATTTTCTGATTCACCAAATTGTTACTTCTGTCACCGCTGGGACCTACCATTTCGGTCCTAGCTGGGCTCTCCGAAGGCAGGTGCTGGCGTGGGTGGTGGCTGCGTGAGAATCAGACTTGTCTAAGCCCCGACTGCAGAGAGCCTCTGAGAGAGTCCCCCCCCACCGGCTTCCGCGGGGGACACCTGTCCTCCAAGCCTCTCGGCACACKGCGGTGGTGTTTCTCTAGGAACCGCGACACATGCAGACCACTCGGAGTCAATATCGTGCCACCCCCACTTAAAAAGGTAGAGACCTTGTGACCACACAGGCCCGTCCCTTTCCTCACCATGGCTGTCACTGTTTCCATCTACATTTGTCACAAACCCCAAAAGACAAGGCTGGAATTTGTGTATGGACATTTCTATGCATTTTTTTTTTAATTCAGAAAAAGCAGTCCTTTATATTTAATCAGATATTTACCATTTCTAATGTTCCTCTTCCTTTCATGAACATCTGGGTCCCCCTGGCATCAAATTTCTTGGGTCCCAGAACGTCCCRTAGTACTGCTGGGAGGCAAGATGGGTCACAATGCATTATCTTTTTGTTCTTGCTCTGTTTTTCTTAATCTGAGAACATCACCTTCATTCTTAAAAGGACACTGGCTGACCGCGAATTCTGAGTCTGAGGCTTTGGCAGCCCCTGGCTTGGCTCTGCCCTTCAGTCCATTGGACCAGTGTTTCTTGGTCTCCAWTGTCTCTGATGAGGGGTCAGTGGTCATTCAAATCATGGCCTCTTGGTCGTAARGCATCACTTTTCTCATACTTCCTTTAAGATTTCCTTCTTCAATTCTTGTTTTCAGAAGTTTTTCTGTGATTTTCTTTGGATTTATCTTAGTCTGAGTTTCCTAAATCTATAAATGTAGGCCTTTTGCCAACATTCAGAAGTTGTGGTCATGATTTCTTCACATAAGTCTTCTCCAGTCTCCCTCTTGCTTCCTCCCTGGGTTTTCATTGCACCAGCATTAGACCTTTTCATATTATTTCCCATGACCTGGCGGCACTATGCTTGTTTATTTATTTATTTGTTGATTTTTTTTCTCTCTCTTCTTCAGTTTATAGAATTGATTCTTCCTTTTTTCATCTGTGGTTAAGACATTGGGTAAGGTTTTTATTAGTTCTGGATTTTCCACTGGTTTCTTCTTATAATTTTTATTTCTCTACTGAGAGGTCCTACATTTTCAATAATTCTGAATATATTGTTCTTTGTTCACTGAGCATTTTTATAACAGTTAAAGATTTTCAGAGTTGATTCTAACACCTGGTCATCGCAGTCTTTTCTCTTGAGAAAGGATTTCTTTTCTGTTTCTCCACATGTTGAGCACTTSGGGATGACATTCTGGACACTGTGAACGTTACGTGTCATGACTMTGGATTCTGCTCACATTATCTGTGGACAAGTTGGTTGCTATTCCTTTCTTTATTTGAGGAAGCCACGGACTTGGTTGGCCTGGATCTGAGAAAGGCTGTCTTTTCAGACTTTCAGGATACAGTTTGAACTTCGGCCCACTTCTTTGATCCTTGGGTGGGCTGCTTGCAATCTGCCTGGCTCACAGATGGTTCAGGGTCAATCAGGGACTTAGGGAGAACTTCTGCACCAGTTTGGAGCCCCTGCTGTCTGGCTGTCTCCATTTCAAACCTTGCCTCGCCCCCCCGCATTTACTCTCCAGGGACGTAGATGCTCAGACCTCATCCCCCTGGTTCTGTAGGCCAGAAACAGGACTGGTGGTCTGCTGGTGTTTTGTCTGTGCTGGGTGGCACCAACCTCRTCCTTCACACAGGTGAAAACCTGGGGACCAGGGCACCTCCAACTCATGCTATTCCCAYCTCAGGACCAACTCTCCCCCAGAATCCTCTTGCTCAGCTTCAGCCTACAGGGTCCTCTTGATCTACCTCTCCAACCTCATCCAGCATTTCTATGTGGGATCTTTGAGAAGTTTCCAATAGAAACTTACTCAGCCATGCTGGAAACAGAACGTCCTGTGGCCCTTCCTGGGGTGTTGTGGCACACCTGCCCTCAAGACGCAGGGGTCACTGTTCAGAGAAGGCTTCCCAGTCCTCCGCAGCCTGGGCCCCACTGCCCACACAAGTGACCTTCCCTACTTGCCCACTTCTCTCACAGAAGTAGGAGCCTAACCCATGGCAGGTCTCCTGTCTACACAGTGGCATTCCTGTAGGACAGGAAATCACCTGCATATCCCAAGAGCACAAAGTAGATACTCAGTGACAAGTGAAAAGAGGRGGAGAGGATGTCGATGCAAGGGACAACTCACAGACGTCGTCTACTGTGTCTGGGTGGGTCTTGAGCCTAAGAACGTCACGTCTGCACAGACAAGAGCGTCAGGCCGCCCTCAGCCCTGGYAAGGACGCAGTCAGAAAACCGAGACCCCTGTGGGGCGGA